CCCAGGCAACTTGGCGAGATCTCGTCTCTACAATAAATCAAAAATTAGCCGGGTGTGGTAGCGCATGCCTGTAGTTCCAGCTACTTGGAAGGCTCAGGTGTAAGGCTGCGGTGGCTGGGAGCGGCCACTGCACTCCAGTCTGGGCAACAGAGTGAGACTCCAACTCAAAAAAATATATAGATATATTTTTCACACATTAAAATTATATGAAATTTAGGCTGGGCACAGTGGCTCACATCTGTAATCCCAGCATTTTGGGAGGCCAAGGTAGGAAGATCACTTGAAACCAGGAGTTCAAGACTAGCCTGGGCAACATAGTGAAACCCAGCTCTACAAAAAATTTAAAAAATTAGCCTTGCATAGTGATTCTGCCTGTAGTTCCAGTTACTCAGGAGGCTGAGCTGGGAAGATCTCTTGAGCCCAGGAGATCAAGGCTGTAATGAGCCATGATCATACCACTGCACTCCAGCCTGGGCAACAGAGCAAGCTCCTGTCTCAGAAAAATAAAATTATATGAAATTTGTATTTCAGTGCCCACAAATGCAGTTTTATTGGAACACAGCTACATTATTCACATCTTATCTATGACTGCTGTGACTCAAAACAAGTCATTAAGTAATTGTGGCAGAAATCATATGATTCAAGAAGGCTAAAATATTTATTATCTGGCCCTTCACAGAAAAAATGCATTGGCCTCTGATCTAAAGTGTGCAAGAATTGCATTTTCCATGGGTTTCCGAGTAGCTTACATGTCCAAGTTAGCCGATTATGACAATGTGATGTTTAATGATTCTTCATTGTATTAAAGTTGAATTAATAAAATCAGTATTTAAACATTTTGGAAGTAGGGCTTTAACTGTGTTTCACAAATAAAATACTGGTGAACTAAAGAATTTTTCATCAGGGATAAATTTATTATTGTGCTCATAATTTCCATTTTTTAGGAGATAAAGCTATAATTGTTACTATTTGGTCTATTTTCTTTTATGTTCATGTTGTTCAATAGTGTGAATTAAGTGAATTAAGATTTTTATCCCTCAATGAAGCGTGATTGTTTTAATCTTGATCTGAGATGTGAAGCCAGTGACTCTCGCTCATCTAGGAGGAAACCTGCTAGTCCTGGTGGATCAACACGCAGCCCACGAGCGCATTCGTCTGGAACAGCTTGTCACTGGTAAGGATCAGTTTGCAACTAGAAAAGGCTTGAAACTCCAAGCAAAATTAGTATGCCTCAAAGAGATGGGGTTTTTGGGTTCTGGTTTGTTTTTTTTTTTAGAGACAGGGTCTCACTCTATCACCCAAGCTGAAGTGCAGTAGTGCAATCATAGCTTACCACAACTTGGAACTTCTGGGCTCAGGTGATCTTCCCGCCTCAACCTCCCGAGTAACTGGGACTACAGGTATGTGTCACCATGCCCAGCTAGTTTTATTTTTTTTTTTTTTTGAGTTGGAGTCTCACTCAGTCACCCAGACTGGAGTGTAGTGACCACTCCTGGCCACTGCAGCCTCGACCTGCTGTGCTCCAGCGATCCTTCCACCTCAGCTTTCCAAGTAGCTGGAACTACAGATGCGCGCTACCACACCCAGCTAATTTTTTTGATTTTTATTGTAGAGATGGGGTCTCGCCAAGTTGCCCAGGCGGGTCTCGAACTCGGGGGCTCAGGCAATTCACTCATCTTGGCCTCCCAAGGCACGGGATTACAGGCTGAGCCACCGAGCCTGGCCTACCCAGCTAGTTTTTAAAATTTTTTGTAGAGGTGAAGTTTCACTGTGTTGCCCAGGCTGGTTTTGAACTTCTGGCCTCGGGTCATCCTCCTGCCTTGGCCTCTCAAAGTGCTGGGATTATAGGCATGAGCCATAACACCCTGTCCCAAGCAGGTTTTTCTAACTGTGACTATTGTGAGGAAAGATGCATTGTACCATATATTTTAAAAGGTAAGCTGTTGGGAGGCTGAGGTGAGTGAATTGCCTGAGCCCACAGGTTCGAGACCCGCCTGGGCAACTTGGCGAGATCTCATCTCTACAATAAATAAAAAAAAAAATTAGCTGGGCGTGGTAGCGCGCGCCTGTAGTTCCAGCTACTTGGAAGGCTGAGGCGGAAGGATCACCAGAGCCCAGCAGGTCGAGGCTGCAGTGGCCGGGAGCGGCCACTGCACTCCAGTGGGCAACAGAGGGAGACTCTAACTCAAAACAAAAACAAAAACAAAACAAAATAAAATAAATAAAAGGCAAGCTGAAGTCCTCTGTTGGCCTCAGTTATAACCGAAGGAATATAGTAGTTCACTTTGCTAATTCAAATCTGGGTATTTATCTGGGCATGGGTTGCTCTATTCTGCTATCCAGTACAGAGAGCTGCTCCTTCCCATGCCCGTGTGATCTGGGTGTGCTTCCTTCACAGCTCATCAGGCAGAGACTGCCAGCAGCTCAGAGGGCCCAGCGTGCTGTTTTTATCTTAAAATGTAATTTTCTTTTGAATACATAGTATAATTAAATAGATCTGATTCCAAAAGATACAAAAGGGAATATAATTAAGCCTCTTTTATGCCCTTGTCCCCCACCCCACCTAGTTTCTCTCTCCAGAGTCAACCAATATGACTAATTTTTTATATACCTTTTCAAAGTCAATATATGCTTCTTAATTTTTACTACCCATTTTTCTTATCATGAGGCAGTACATTTGCCAAGTGGTAAAATATCAGGGAAATCTTTGCTCCTGAGGTTGAGTAATGAAAAACTTTAGAGACAAAGAGTTAGGCAGGAAGGGAGATACTTCCTGGACTGGAATGGCAGTGATATCGTCATTTTCAATTTTCCTTGTAAAATGAAGACCTAAGGATCGGGAAAGAGATAGCAAAAGCAGTGTGAGAAAACTTACTTGCTACAGGCTCTGCACCTTTGGAGAATAGCACTACCCCTTCTGAAGGGGTGGAGAAGCCTTCTGGGCTGCAGAAGTGTGTGGGAAACTATCGTATGTTCCCAGTGATCCATATTTATTAACTAGAGGAGCAGTGCGTTGTTCATTTGAATCCAAGATTTATGTTTCTTATTTTGAAAAATACTACTGAAATTTATAATAGACTGGATATTTACTAGTTTGACTTTAAAAATGGAAATCCAGAGTCTAAAACGAAAGATTGAACACACTGCAACATACTCGAATAATTATATTTTGGGTGTGCCTTACTGTGCTTCATTTTTATCTGACTCTAGAAGACTTCCCTTCCTACTCTTAACCTGTTCATCTTTCTTTCAATAGATTCCTATGAGAAGCAACAGCCACAAGGCCCTGGTCGGAAAAAGTTACTGTCTTCCTCTCTGATTCCTCCACTAGAGATAACAGTGACAGAAGAACAAAGGAGACTCTTATGGTTAGTACCACCATGAGGATGTGGTGTTGATGGTGTAAAGTCTTACAATAATCTTATGAGGTACAAGTGTAATTTATTTCACATTCAGATGAGGAAACTGAGACCAAGAGAGGTTACATGACTCGCTCAAGGTCATAACAGTTATTAAGTGGTGGCGTAGGCACTCAAAGGCAGGTCTTCTGATGCCAAATGCTGTTCTTTCCACTGTGTCACAGCTGGTGAGTGTAGGGGAGAGTTTCCCTGATGATTTTTTGCAGCAGTTGGCTTAGTATTCTAAGCTCTTCCCATTTCTTGGAACAGTCTGTATTTGTGCAGTGCTGTTTCTGAAAGCAACGTTTCTGTAGTAATTGTTCCCACTCTGCTTCATCTTGGTGCATTCTGGATGCTCAATTTCATTACCATAATCATATTGGGAAAAAAGTAAAACACTTGGATGCAAGGAAGAGACAAATCACACAGCAAGTCGCAAGCTAGGACCTTCTCCCACTCTGGGCAGCAAAATTATTGAAAATGAAAAAGAGAATGGTCTCTTGCTACTGCCAATACAACCTTTTCCGTGGGGCATAATTCATATTAGAGGCAGATCCATTTATGTACATCCCATTGCTCAGGACTTCACAGTTCCTTGGGCTGTTAATGACCTTCCTGCTTTAATGCTGGTTCAAAACCCTTGCAGACCTTTTTTTAGTGCCAGACTCCATGTAGTGCCAGCAACAAGAAGCCTGCAGTACCTCAGTGAAGATTAAAAACTCAGGAATGCCAGGCTCGGTGGCTCAGCCTGTAATCCCGCGCCTTTGGGAGGCTGAGGTGAGTGGATTGCCTGAGCCCGTGGGTTCGAGACCCGCCTGGGCAACTTGGCGAGACTTCATCTCTACAATAAATCAAAATGAGTCGGGCGTGGTAGCACGTGCCTGTAGTTCCAGCTACTTGGACAGCTGAGGCAGAAGGATCGCCGGAGCCCAGCAGGTCGAGGCTGCGGTGGCCGGAGCGGCCACTGCATTCCAGTCTGGGTGACGGAGTGAGACTCCAACTCAAAAAAAAAAAAAACAAAAAAAAAACAACTCAGGAACAAGACTTAGAGACACACGTTGATGCTCTCCATGGAAAAGAGAAAAACAGTGAAGGTTACTGTAGCTCAAAAAGAAAATTTAATAATAAAATCCCAAAAAAGCTCACACAAGTGTGAGGAAAATAACAGTCTTTAAAGCCTGTGGCAGCTGTTGAGAAACTATCAAGTAGTAGTTGGAACCAGTATCGAAATGTAAATGAAGTAATATTTTAAATTTGAGGTTCTCTCTTTAGGTGTTACCACAAAAGTCTGGAAGATCTGGGCCTTGAATTTATATTTCCAGACACCAGTGATTCTCTGGTCCTTGTGGGAAAAGTACCACTCTGTTTTGTAGAAAGAGAAGCCAATGAACTTCGAAGAGGAAGAACTACTGTGACCAAGAGTATAGTGGAGGTAAGGCATGGCGCAGATGCTGAGGAAATGGCTGAGTGATGGTGACCTCCTTTTTTGTCTGGGGAATCTCTGTATCATCTTTTCTTTGACAAGAATTCATGGAATTTACCTACTCTGTAATGCCAGGGACTAGAAATTTAAAGATGAATTAGCACAAGGTGAGGAAGCACATTTAAACAATTACAGTGCAGTGAAATTTGGCCAGTAGAGGTTGTGTGAAAACACAGAGTGCCTGCTGTGCCTAAGGAGATGGAGGTTAAAGAAACTGTCACAGAAAAGCTGGAATTTTCTTGTTTTTTGTTTTTGTTTTTTGTAGAGACAGGGGTCTCACTATGTTGCCTAGCTGGTCTTGAACTCCTGGCCTCATGTGATCCTCTCACCTTGGCCTCCCACCATAGCTGCTGCACCTGGCCCCTGCTTTTATCATTATAACTTCTACTCCTACTTTAGCTCTGTCTGTTGGGAGCACAGACAAGTCCACATCACCTCAGTCTACCATTTATCTAGAAATCTGAAGTACTTTAACAGTAGCTAAGATAGCAATTAGCCAAGTGCAGTGGCTTATGCCTGTAATCCCAACACTTTGGGAGGCTGAATGGGAGGATCACTTGAGGCCAGGAGTTCAAGACAAGCCTGAACAGCACAGTGAGACCTCATCTCTATCAAAAAGAGAAAAATTAGGATGGAAATTTAGTAGATAAATTGTGGTGTAGATTGACGTGGGAAAGATTTGAGGCAGGGAGAACAGCTGAAATGAAGATTTTGCAAAATGTCGCAAAATGAAGATTTGACTAAGTCAGTAGTAGTGGGAATGGGGAGGAGGGACACATTTGATAACTAATTTGGAGGGCAAAATCAAGAGGATCAAGAGGACCTGGTGAGCAATAGCATTTACAAAGAATGAATGAAAAGATAAGCATAGTGATTCTGAGAGTTGTAGCTTGGATGGCTGGAAGAATGGTTGTGCCATTGACAGAGGAAGTCATAGTGGAGGAGTGTACCTGGCTGGGAGTTAGGTCACGAGGCTGGGTTTAGACGTGCTCAGTGTGCCTTCTGGTGGGATGGCTACTGGACAGGCAGGCGTACAGATCTAGCACTCAGGGAGGAAATCCGGGCTGCACGTGTCTACTTGGGAGTTAACAGCAAGTATGTCATGATAATATCAGAAGCTGAACAAGGGCCTAGAGGAAGTGAGATTGTCCAAGAAGTGTATGAAGAGTGACAAGGAAGAGAACAGGGATGGAGGCTGTTGAGCACCAGTATTCAGGCTGTGTGTGTTTTGGCAAAGGTCTGGAAAGCAACTTCTAAAAAGAGGAAACTGTAAGGGCAATTGATATGATTTGGTCAGAGAGGAGGCAAGCCTGGAAAAGGTAATATTTCTAAAACCAAGGGAAGTTTTAAGCAAGAAGGGAATGGTCTACCATGGCCGTCGAGTCGAGCCTGAAAAGTTGGGCTTAGCTGTCATGAGGATGTGGGTTACCTTGTGGTGCGGGGTGGATCAGAAGACAGGGCAGAAGGAGTGCATGGAGGGAGAGGACACAAAGATCAGTGGATGACTCTTTCAAAAACTTTGGCTGCACACAGAAGACAATAGATTGGGTGAGAGCTGAGGGCCGGGTGACTGGGAGGTGCAGGCGGGATGCAAGGCTGAGGAAAGCTTTTTGTTCGAAGGTGAAGGAGACCTGAGTGTGTGTGTAGGCTAAGAGTCGGAGATGTTCAAGAGGAAGCGGCGGCAGACAGTGCCAGCTCGTGGATCACCTCGCTTCTCCTTTTTCCAGAATTGCCTTTGGATCCGATGGCCTTTGCTCTGCTTCCAACAAAGATCTTTCCTTCCCACAGACTTATTTTCCCTAAGACCCCTGCTCTAAATTGTCCTAAATTCAAAAGATAGGATCTGTTAGTCGTTTATTGTAATGCAATCCCTAAATATTTAACCAGAAAATTATAAGAAAAACTTTTCCTGAAGGAACTTCAAAGACGACTGTTAAGGAGTTGACTTCAAATTGAAACAAACCTTATGGCTTCAGAATATCTTGATTAAGTCAGACTGATCAAGAGAGATTTTGTTTGATTCTGGAAGAAGCTGGAACAGTTCTGGTGTTTTGAGGAGATAATTACTTGAATCCTAAATGTTGAAAGATCATGATTACATCCTTTTGTAAAGTTCTGTCTTCTAGCTTACAAATGAGCCTTTTTAATATTATTTAAATTATTCAGCATTAATTGAAATATGAAATGAAGCCAGGTGTGGTGACTCACACCTGTAATCTCAGCACTTTGGGGGGTGGAGGTGAGAGAATTTCCTGATCCCAGGGGTTCGAGACCAGCCTGGACAACTTGGTGAGACCTCGTCTCTGTCATAAAGCAACAACAAAAAAATTAGCCAAGCATGATAGTGTGCACTTGTAGTTCCAGCTACTTGGAAGACTGAGGCATAAGGATCACCTGAGCCCAGCAGGTTGAGACTATGGTGGCCATGTTTGTGCCCCTGCACTCCAGCCTGGGTGACAGAGTGAGACTCTGACTCAAAAAAAAAAAAAAAATATGGAATGAACTGGGAATGAGGCACATCTGCCCCTTACCAGGCTTACAGCTTGATGTTTCACCTTCCCAGATATACACACACAGGAGAGAACAACGGAGATAGCTTGGGCATTGTGAGATATGTTTCTGTTTGGGAAAATATATGCTTTAAAAATACATATAGTATCTATTACCTATCTCTTGGTAAGTGCTTATTTTATTTATAAGCCTGGCAGATTGTAGTAAATATGAGGGAGGGGGAAGCATCTTCTGAGTCTGGTTTAGAAAGAAAATTCACCACGTTGTAATCATAGGAAGCGGATTTGTACATAACTATTTCCAGGAATAAAGAAATCCTGTGTTTTCTTATAAAGAAATCATTAAATGTGTCATATCTGTAAGCAGTTTTTTACCTCAAAGTTAAACCAATTGGTAGCAGGAAATAGTGTCTGCTTTAAAGTTCTTTTGTAAATACTAATATCTACAGGGATATAACCATTGAAAAGGTTACCTCAGGGACAGAGACATGTAAGGGAGGAGAAACTTCTCAACAACATGCCTCGCAAAATAAGCTTTTTGACCTGAAGGGAACTGTCCCAGAAAAGCCTGTGGGAACTGAAGTGACTACTTACTTGTGTTTATGACATTTAAGCAAGTGTTATATTGAGTGCACGGCTGTGTTGATGATTGCTGTGTATTTATTCTCAGTTTGTGTGTAATATTACACTTGTTCTGGCTAAGATTATACATACAAACAGACAGCCTCCCACTGAGAAGCCTTCCTGACATTTTGGATCGGTTGAACCATTGCGACTCCTCTCACTAGTTGCATAACCTCACTTGCTGACAAGCTGTCTGGAGGAAGTCTTGTGGCTACATATATTCTGCGTTCAGTAAGAGTTCTATCCATTTGTCTTCATGTTTCATATTCAAAGTGCCTTACAAAAAATAAACTTGTACCCAAGCACTGTTTTGCTAGAACTTTCTCCTTTATAAGACATATTTTAGAGAGGAAAATTGGGGCATTTTGTAAACTACCAAAAGGCAAGTATAGCATAACTGTTGATTCATGCCTGTACCCATTTTGCTTTGTAGGAATTTATTCGAGAACAAGTGGAGGTAAGCTTTTGTCATTTCCACACATAACAGGCTCCGTTGTCCCATTTCATTTTCCTGCTAATAATGTGTCTGTGCATTAGCTACTCCAGACCACAGGAGGCATCCAAGGGACACTGCCATTGACTGTCCAGAAGGTGTTGGCATCCCAAGCCTGCCATGGTAAGGCCTTCTTGGCACCAGTAATTGTGTGTCTCTGTGTGCAAAGCATGATTACAAAGGAAGCAGAAGGCACACTGACTACTTGCCTCTTGGAAAGTACAGTTTGTTTTTTTCTTATGAACAGAATGTTGGTAGAGAGAGTACAGTTGAGATCAAGAAACTGAGTATAAGCTGGGTACAGTGGCTCACTCCTGTAATCCCAGCACTTTGGGAGGCTGAGATTAGAGGATCACTTGAGCTCAGGAGTTCGAGATCAGCCTTGGCAACATAGCCAGACCTTGTCTGTACAAAAAATTTAAAAACTTAGGTGAGCATGATGGCACATGCTATGGTTCCAGCCACTTGGGAGGATCACTTGAGGCCAGGAGTTTGAGGCTGCAGTGAGCTGTGATCATACCTCTGAACTCCAGGCTAGGTGACAGAGTGAAACCCCCCGTTCAAAAAGAAAAACTGAGTACATATAAAAATGAAGCCTATAAAATTATTTTTACAAAGCAAAATACCAACACATAAATTTGACTCCCATAGACTGACGTATACAAGTGAAAGAATAACCCTTAGAAGAGATATGTTCTGACGAGTCTTGAATGAGCTAAGGGATGCAGCTTCCTAGCACGGGAGGGACAGGAAATGGCCTGTGTGGAGACCCAGAGGCAGAAATCAATTTATTATATGAGAAGCCCAGAGAGTATCAAGAAATGAGGCAGGCTGGGTTCAGTGACTCACGCCTGTAATCCCAGCACTTAGGGAGGTGGAGGCAAGAGGATTGCCTGAGCCCAGGGATTCGAGACCAACCTGGGCAACTTGGCAAGACCTTGTCTCTACAGTAAATCAAAAAATTAGCTGGGCATGGTGGTACACACCTGTAGTTCCGGTTACGTAGAAGGCTGAGGCAGAAGGCTTGCCTGAGCCCAGCAGGCTGAGGCTGCAGTGGCCGTAAGCATGATACTGCACTCCAGTCTGGGCAACAGAGTGAGACTGACTCAAAAAAGAAAACAAAAAGAAAGCAACAAGACTGAGGAGAAAGGACAGATGTCTAGAAGGTCACAGCAAGACCTCCAGATATGACCGGAAGGCATGAGCAGATATGACCCAACATGGAAATGGCCATGCGGGAGCTTGGATCACAGGTCATGGCAGCTGCAGAGTTCCCTGCAGCTGTCATCTCCACAGCAGGGTCTCCACCACTGCCCCCACTTTATCCTTCTCCAGCCATTCCCGGTTTGATGACCATAGTCGGTCACTCTTTTGTCTCCTGCAGACATCCTGAAGTCCTTGGCCCTTGATCCTGTCTTTACTCCTCAGAGCTGCCCCCTCACTGAGTTTCACCGTCTTTGCTTTCCGAACATGCCTTAAATCTCCCTGGCCCAACCTGCCACAGCTGCTTCCCCATTCTTGCCATTGTCAAGGCCTCTCAATTCCCCCTGTCTACGTTGGCGCTCCTTCACGCTATGCTTCCCTCAGCACCCAGAGGAATCTTTTGCACCATTCCTGTGAGTGTGGTGTTCTCTGACTAAAACATGTCCGTGACCACCCACTGCTCTTAGGATTAAGTGAGATTTTTCTGCTATGGCCCACAAGGGGCTTCATGACTTGGACCCGCTGGCCTCCACAGGCTCACATCCCTCTCCACTTTGCACTTCACATTCCAGCCTGTTTCTTTGGTCTTGTTCTCTTTGTGTGTTGAACTTTCGTCAGCCTCAGGGCCTTTGCCTCTGCCTGAGATGCCTTTCTCTCCTTTGATTAATCACCTGTGTCTTTCTTAACCTGAATCTCAGCTTAAATATCATTTTGCCAGGAAAGCCTTCCTTGACATCCTAGCCTGGGTTTGGTCTTCCTATGATATATTCACGTCCTATATTTTATAGTACTTATCATTTAAATGATTGTATAATTATTTGTTTCATATTTATTTAACCTATTAGACCATAAATGCCATGAGGCTGGAGATCATGTCTCAATCATTACCTGGCAAAATTCCTAGTACTGAGTATATACTGAACTGTTGGGCATGGTGGTATGCATCTGTAGTCTGGTTACTTGGGATTGAGGCAGAAGGATCGCCTGAGCCCAGGAGGTTGAGGCCGCAGTGAACCATGATCATGCCCTTGTACCCCAGCCTGGGCAACAGAGTGAGATTCTGACTCAAAAAAAAAAAACAACGAAGTGTATACTGATAAATATTTGTTGACTGGGTGAATTAATAAATGCTTAGCCGGGTGCAATGGCTCAAGCCTGTAATCCCAGCACTTTGGGAGGCGGAGGTGAGAGGATTGCCTGAGTTCAGAGGTTCACAATCAGCCTGAGCAACATGGCAAGACCTTGTCTCTACAGTAAATCAAAAAATTAGCCTGACGTGGTAGTTCCAGCTACTTGGAAGGCCGAGGTGGAAGGATCACCTGAGCCCAGCAGGTCGAGGCTGCAGTGGCCATGAGCGTGCCACTGCGCTCCAGCCTGGGCAACATGGTGAGACTCCAACTCAAACAAATAAACAAAATATATATATGCATAAAGGTAGGTTCTAATAATATGAGAGTTTAGAATAGAGAGACTGTTATGGAGATTAGAGAAAGAGAACAAACAAATGAGATATACATTGTAAAGAGATCATCAGAGATTGCTCTTGGAAAGTCCATGGAAGAAAAACAGCCTCCACTTCACAAACCCAGAAGAAGGCAGAAACATTGCTCTTGCCTCTTTGAGAAAAACCCTGGAAGCAAGATCCTGACAAGTTGAGGCGTGTTTCCTGCAGGGGTTAGAAAGACAAATACTCCTTGAGGAAGAGCTGAGAACCAGAAGGTCAGCCTAAAGCCTTGGTTTCTTCCATGACTGTAAGTGTCCATTTCAAGCAGTGTTAGAGCAGCCTGAGAAATGCTACTTTCCCCGCTGTTTGGCTCTTGGCACAGCCAGCAGCATTTCCCACTGCATATACTATAACCTGTGTGCTTCTCTTTCGTCTAGGGGCCATTAAGTTTAACGATGGCCTGAGCCTCGAGGAGAGCCGTCGTCTTGTTGCAGCCCTCTCCCTGTGCCAGCTGCCCTTCCAGTGTGCTCACGGGAGGCCTTCTATGCTGCCATTGGCTGACATAGACCACCTGGAGCAGGAGAAAGTGGTACGTCCTTGACTAACGGGAGCAGGAGGGAACAAAGTTTATCTTCTCGGCTCCTACTGTCCAAATGTGATCTGTCTTAATCCTTCCTGAAATATAAGAGTTTTGAAAAGGCTGCATTGGAAGTTTCCTGTAAGGCCTCAGCCATTTCATCTTCCAGCTTGAATTCAAGATGAAGTTTAGACTTAGCTGTCAGGTCACCCACAGCCTGGCTTTGTATCCTTAAGCTTAACACATGTACAGACTTATGTATGCTGAACATCTGGTACCTACTAGCTGTAGGTTTGATAGGATGCAGTTCTTCCTGAAGCTGCTGAAAATTGGTAAGAGCACAGCAAATCCACCATGGGCAAAATATAGCCTAGACATCCAGTGTCTTTTTTTTTAATTATAAAGATGTGGGGTACAATTCAGGGTTAGGTATACAAATGTTGATTATGCAGGTACCCTTGTTGATGAAGTGTGCCCCTCTCTCCCCTGGCAGTTTTCCTCAACTGCCAATCCCACCCCCCTCCCCTGACAGTTTCCCACTACTGCTAATCACTTTCTTATAGTATTATAATTGTTCAAGGTCTGTTTATGAGTGAGAACATATGGTACTCTGTTCTTTGTTTCTGTGATAGATCACTGAGTATAATTGACTCTAAATCCATCCAAGTTGCTGTGAAATCCATATGTTTGTTCTTCTTTATGGCTGCATAATATTCCATTGTGTATATGTACCACTTTTTTTTATCTAGTCCAGCTTTGATGGGCAACATGGTTGGTTCCATGTTTTTGCTATTGTGAATAGAGCTGCAACAAACATACGTGTGCAGGTATGTTTTTTGTAGAATGATTTGAGTTCCTCCGGTATTTTCCCAATAGGGGAATTGCTGGTTCTTATGGAAGGTCAATTTCTAGTTCTTTCAGATACCGCTACACTGTCTTCTAAAGAGGTTGCCCTAGTTTGCATTACCACCAGCAGTGTAGAAGCTTCCTTTTTCTCCACATCCTCACCAGCATCTGTTGTTGTTTGTTTTATTAATGGTGGCCATTCTTACTGGGGTTAGGCGATATTGCAATGTGATTTTGATTTGCATTTCTCTGATAATGAGTGAGGCTGAGAACTTTTTCATGTGTCTGTTGGCTGTCCATATATCTTCTTTTGAGAAGTGTCTATTCATGTCTTTTGCCCACTTTTTTAATGGGCTGTTTGTTTTTTTCTTTTTGGTGCATTTGAGTTCCTTGTAGATCCTAGATGGCAAGCCTTTGTCAGATATACAGTTGGCAAATATTTTTTCCCATTCTGTGGGCTGTCTCCCTTCTCTCTTGATGGTTTCTTTTGCTTTGCAAAAGCTCTTTAGTTTGATGAGGTCCCACTTGTCTATCTTATTTCTTAAGGTATGGGCATTTAGGGTTCTGAATAGGAATTGGTTGCCAGTTCCAATTTCCATAAGGGGTCTCCTGCATTTTCTAAGATTCTCATAGTTTGAGGTTTTATATTTAGGTCTTTGATCCATTTCGAGTTAATTTTTGTGTATGGTGATAGGTAGGGGTCCTGTTTCAACCTTCTGCATGTGATCAGCCAGTTTTCCAGCACCATTTACTGAGTAGATTCTCCTCTCCCCAGTAGTTGTTGTTGGAAGCTTTGTCAAAGATGAGTTGGTTGAGAAATTGAGGCTTTGCTTCCAGAATCTCTATCCTGTTCCATTGGTCTGTGTGCCTGTTCTTGTACCAGTACCAGGCTGTTTTGACTACTATAGCCTTATAGTAAAGTTTGAAGTCTGGAAGTGTAATATCTCCTGATTTGTTTCTTTTGCTAAGGATTGTTCTGGTTATTCATGGTCGTTTATGTTTCCATATGAATTTCTGTATTGTCTGAGAAGAATGATGTTGATAGCTTAATGGGTATTGCGTTGAATCTGTAGATTGCCTTTGGTAGGATGGACATTTTAACAGTGTTGATTCTCCCTATCCATGAGCATGGAATATTTTTCCATTAGTTTGTGTCTTCTTGAATTTCTTTGAGCAGTGTTTTGTAGTTCTCATTGTAAATGTCTTTCACTTCTCTGGTTAGGAAGATGCTAAGGTATTTCATTTTTGTGTGTGGCTATTGTGAATGGGATTGTGCTTTTAATTTGGGTCTCTGTCAGCCAGGCATGGTAGCGCATGCCTGTAATTCTGGCTACTTGGAAGGCTGAGGCGGAAGGATCGCTGGAGCCCAGCAGTTCGAGGCTGC